CTGGGATACAATCTCCAAAATGACAGAATCATCTCAGTTCGAATCCAAGGCAAACCATTCAACATCACAATAGTCCAAGTCTATGCCCCAACCACTGGTGGTGAAGAGGCTGAAGTTGACCGGTTCTATGAAGGCCTACAACAACTTCTAGAATTAACACCCAAAAATGATGTCCTTATCATCATGGGGGATTGGAATGCTAAAGTAGGAAACCAAAAGATAACCGGAACAACAGGCAGGTTTGGCCTTGGAGTACAAAATGAAGCAGGGCACAGGCTGGTAGAATTTTGTCAAGAGAATACAGTGGTCATAGCAAACACTCTTTTCCAACAACCCAAGAGACGACTCTACACATGGATATCACCAGACGGTCAACACAGAAATCAGATTGACTATGTGCTCTGCAGCCAAAGATGGAGAAGCTCTATACGGTCAGTAAAAACTAGGCCAGGAGCTGACTGTGGCTCAGATCATGAGCTTCTTGTTGCAAAAGTTAGGCTTAAGTTGAAGAAAGTAGGGAACAGCACTAGGCCACTCAGGTATGACCTGAATCATATCCCTGATGAATATACAATAGAGGTGACAAATAGATTTAAAGAATTAGATCTGATAGACAGAGTGCCTGAAGAACTATGGATGGATGTTCGCAACATTGTACAAGAGGCAGCAACTAAAACCTTCCCAAAGAAAAAGAAATGCAAGAAAGCAAAATGGCTGTCTGAGGAAGCTTTATTTATTTATTTATTTATTAAAAAATTTCTATGCCGCCCCATTCGCTGAAGCCTTGGGGCGGCTTACAAAACAACAGTTAAAATATAAAACACTAAAAATATAAAACACATTAACATTATAAAATAAGTCGCCCTGGCCGACTTTACAAGTAGCTGAGGAAAGAAGGGAAGCGAAAGGCAAGGGAGAAAGAGAAAGATACAAACAATTGAATGCAGAATTCCAGAGAATAGCTAGAAGAGATAAGAATGCCTTCTTAAATGAACAGTGCAAAGAAATAGAAGAAAACAATAGAATAGGGAGGATCAGAGATCTCTTCAAGAAAATTGGAGATACGAAGGGAACGTTTCATGCAAAGATGGGCATGATAAAGGACCAAAATGGCAGGGACCTAACAGAGGCAGAAGAGATTAAGAAGAGGTGGCAAGATTACACAGAGGAACTATACAAGAAAGAGCTTAACCTCCCTGATAACCACGATGGGGTGGTCACTGACCTCGAGCCAGACATCCTGGAATGTGAAGTCAAATGGGCCTTAGGAAGTCTGAGCAACAACAAAGCTAGTGGAGGTGACAGTATTCCAGCTGAGCTATTCAAAATCCGAAAAGATGATGCAGTAAAAGTGCTACACTCAATATGCCAGCAAATTTGAAAAACTCAACAGTGACCACAGGATTGGAAAAGGTCAGTTTACATTCCCATCCCAAAGAAGAGCAATGCCAAAGAATGTTCAAACTACCGCACCATTGCACTCATTTCACATGCTAGCAAAGTTATGCTCAGAATCCTACAAGCTAGGCTCCAGCAGTATGTGGACCGAGAACTACCAGAAGTACAGGCAGGATTTCGAAGAGGCAGAGGAACTAGAGATCAAATTGCCAACATACACTGGATCATGGAGAAAGCTAGGGAGTTCCAGAAAAACATCTACTTCTGCTTCATTGACTATGCTAAAGCCTTTGCTTGTGTGGATCACAACATATTGTGGCAAGTTCTTAAAGAGATGGGAGTACCAGACCATCTTATTTGTCTCTTGAGAAACCTATATGTGGGTCAAGAAGCAACAGTGAACACTGGACATGGAACCACTGATTGGTTCAAAATTGGGAAAGGAGTTTGGCAAGGCTGTATACTGTTGCCCTGTCTATTTAACTTATATGCAGAGCACATCATGAGAAAGGCGGAGCTAGATGAATCACCAGTTGGAATTAAGATTGCTGGGAGAAATATCAACAACCTCAGATATGCAGATGATACCACTCTCATGGCAGAAAGTGAAGAGGAACTAAAGAGCCTCTTGATGCGGGTGAAGGAGGAGAGCGCAAAAGTTGGCTTGAAACTCAACATTAAGAAAACTAAGATCATAGCATGCGGTCCTCTCACTTCCTGGCAAATAGATGGGGAAGAAATGGAGGTAGTGACAGATTTTATCTTCCTGGGCTCCAAGATCACCGCAGATGGGGACTGCAGCCAAGAAATTAAAAGACACTTGCTCCTGGGGGGGAAAGCTATGGCAAATCTAGACAGCATACTAAAAAGCAGAGACATCACCCTGCCAGGAAAAGTGTGTATAGTCAAGGCTATGGTTCTCCCAGCTGCAATGTATGGCTGTGAAAGCTGGACCATAAGGAAGGCTGAGCGCCAAAGGATTGAGGCCTTTGAATTGTGGTGCTGGAGGAGTCTCCTGCGAGTCCCTTGGACCGCAAGGTGATCAACCCTGACTGCTCTTTAGAAGGCCAGATCCTGAAGATGAAACTCAAATACGTTGGCCACCTAATGAGAAGGAAGGACTCCCTGGAGAAGACCCTGATGCTGGGAACAATAGATGGCAAAAGAAGAGGGGGATGGCAGAGGATGAGGTGGCTAGATGGAGTCACTGAAGCAGTTGGTGTGAGCTTAGGTGGACTCCGGGGGATGGTGGAGGACAGAAAGGGCTGGAGGAGTGTTGTCCATGGGGTCACGATGGGTCGGACATGACTTCATGACTAACAACAACAAAATACAGTAATTGTTTAAAAAAAAACCTTTCTGAGTAGAAAAACTTTGATCTCAATTCTGTTTTCCCTTCTGGAGATTCTGCAAAGCCAATCCACTATCCAGACCAAGGTTCAGAATGATACCCATGCAGAAATTGTGCTGCTTTCACAGTTAGCTTTACCTGACTGAGTTCAGCCCGTGGTTTGGCCATAACATACTAGGGCTCCAGTAGGAAGTTACCCTCATACCATGCTGAATTCTCTTGCTCATTATATTCCTGGATGATTTATTCACTGAACATGGAAATAACTTTCGGATGTATATGTATATATATGTCCCAAGCAAGCATTGGAACATGGCATATATTGTACTTCTCCTTAAAAAGTTATGCTAAACTTGTATAAATTGCAGTCACAATAATGAGGAAACAGATGGAAAAGACTGTTTTGCTTGTGACTATCAGAATTTCAAAGTGTCTTAATTACAGCACTTACCCTTGCTTGGGAACATTATCCACTCAAATGATAAGCTGCTGTTATTGCATAAAATCACAAACATGGGGAAAGTCTTCATTTTAAACCTCAGAATACATGCGAATACACAGGAAGAGGGGAAGGAGTCAGTCCTACCAAGCAGACACAACAAAATGACTACGTCTGCCTAAGAGTCTACAGTTCTGAGATAAATGTTAATAGTCCATCACATTATACTAACTCCTAATCTCTCTACAGATTTTGTTCCATTGTTATCCAAGGTCCTTTCCTTGAGTACAAACCAATTCCAAAACATGCTAGACAAAATGCGGTATCCTACATTCAGGACTGGCAGGGCTTACAGTCGTCACTTTCTTGATTTCACCTGAAAGCAGATCTGTCAAGTGCTTAAACAGCTTTCCTTCTCCAGCTCAGTTTTGTGATATAGAGCAGCAGTTCCTAAACTTTTGGGTCATGGAACCTTTCTGAAGACATTTTTTTTCTGCAGAACCCTAACTCTGTCCCTGATTTTTACGAAGCATTGTGAACCCACAACATTCCTTCTTCTTTCCTTTGCTCCTATTGCCTGGTTGCTTTGCGTAATGTAGTGGTTTGGAAATAAAAGAGAAAACATTTGAAATATAATGAATGACTAAAGCCATTATATGGTAATATCCCAAATGAATTATTTCAATCATTCCCAACACTAAGCAGTAGAGTCCTAGGAACCAAATGACGTGATGCATTTCCTTGTTTGCTGCTTGGACGCTAATTGACGATCCTGTAGTTGGCCTCATGTGGATTCATTTTAAAATCTGCTTTAAATTTGATTTTTGGGTGTTTTTGCAGAACCCCTACGACTAGGGTTCCGCAGGACACAGTTTGGGAACTGGTGATCTACAGCATATATCTGTGATCACATATATTGTAATCACATATTTGTGATCTAGTGCATATCCAGAGTTAGTATCTAGAGCTGGTGATTACTCGTGTCTCTGGCTAGGCCTGCCTCACATTTCACTTACGCTCTAGTACAGCCTTCTCCAACCAGTTGACTTCCAGATGTGTTAAATTACTATCCCCCATCAAGGCAGATGGTCCAACTCAGCTGGAAGGCACCAAGTTGGCGAAGGCCACTCCAGCATTTACGATAGCATGCATTCATTTGTCCTTTATAACTGCACTCCTGCCTTTAGCAAGAGCAAAGCCAGTTTTAAGTCACAGGTACCTATTAAATACCTTGCTTGGTCCAAATAGTAAAAACAAAGGAATGGACAAAATGAGGGCAGACAGGTAGACATTGCAAAGCAGAATAAATGTGCCCTCCTACATTCCCTCTTTGGTTAGTCAGTATGTGGGCAGCCATGAAATTCAATGTTACAGAAGGTCAAACAGACACACTTTGTCTTCATTTCATAAATGGACAATTTCATGGTTATTAGAATTCATAGCAAAGGCAAGAAACAAAAAAAATGAAGGGCAATAAGTCTCATGCTTCCTGGCATAAGCCTGACAGCAGTTGGAAATAGCTAATCAGTTTGATTTATAATATTATAAATCCTGCAGGCACTTTATGGAATTAGAGCTGAGATACCATCTTCAAAGGGACCCAAGGCTACAATCTTCAGACTTAGAAATAGTTTCATTGAAGTCAATTGGATTATGATGGTGTCAAATAGGCAGCAGACTGAAGCTCTAAAACAGCCACATATTCCAGTAAGGCTGGAGTGCTTAAGAGCTCTTGTGATGCACTTTATGTTTGGATATAATACAGGAAAAAATATTGTTTTCTAACACTTTCCTTTGTATTTGATTCTGCAGTTTTTCCCATATGGAGATGCTTCAAAGTTTGCACAGCATGCCTTCAGAACCTTTGATAAGAACGGCGATGGAACCATTGACTTCAGAGAGTTCATTTGTGCACTGTCCATCACCTCAAGGGGGAGTTTCGAACAGAAACTAAACTGGGCCTTCAATATGTATGACTTAGATGGAGATGGAAAGATCACCAGAGTAGAAATGCTGGAAATTATAGAGGTGAGAGTCTACAAAAATTAGAAGCCAGCTTTTGAGATTCTGTCACATTGAAATGTGACCAAAAAGCAAAATACCTTGTTATTAGTTGCATTTCAGGCTTGTAATTTTATGGAGCACTGATTTTGAACATATTGTAAACAACCTAGGGGCTTCTCTGGTCAAAAAGCAAGGTAGAAATAGTGAAATAAGTTAACTTTTAAAAACCCACACACAGCTTGCATCTATGCAGATGAAAGAATGGGAATAGTCAGGAAAAGGTTTGACCAGGATTGCCAATCTAATTCCCATTTTTGGTGTCTATGAGTATACCACCTCTTTAGTTCCACATACATAGATGGAAGATGGCCATCCTTCCACTGGGAAGTGGCCAAATACTGCCCCGTTTGGAGCACTCTTGCGTGATGGCAAAATCTGTCGTCACGCTTACACCTTTCTTCCTAACCCAACAGGAATTCTCAGCAGTGCAATTATTCCTGACTATAAAAATTTGTTCTCTTCTGTGAAATTTGTAAGCTTCAATGCTGGACTGTGGGATATGCTCACTTGCATCAGGAAGTAATCTCTTGCTGCACTAGTTCAGCCTTACATAATGCATTGGATATTTACATACCCTTAACTCTCCAGCTGAAATAAATCAGAATTTAAAGTGCCAGAATTTGGCTGGATTGTCTATAATTTCCTGAGAGTGAGTCCCATTGTGCTCAGTAGAACTTAGTTCTGAATAGACATGTATAAGATAGCACTGCATGTATTTTCAAGGATATACTGGTTCTTCTGGACCTCATGAAACTCATCTTTTTCTCTCCCAAGGCCATTTACAAAATGGTGGGCACTGTGATAATGATGAAAATGAATGAAGATGGCCTCACACCAGAGCAACGAGTAGACAAGATTTTCAGCAAAATGGATAAGAACAAAGATGACCAGATCACACTGGATGAATTCAAAGAAGCTGCAAAGAGCGACCCTTCCATTGTATTACTCCTGCAATGTGACATTCAGAAATGAGCTCATATAAAATGCTTTCATGGACTGCACAGAAGTTTAAATGTTCCATTCGGTTTGCAGCTATATTTCCACACACACACACACACACACACACACACACACACACACACACACACACGAAACAAACAATTGCTTGGACTACCTATCAATGGACTTGCTTCTTGTGTTTGAAACACTTGTGTGCATGAGAATGTCAATTGCTAAACAATTTTAAAAGTATATATTCTAAAGAACCCCTACGCCATGATGTGATGTGTACAATGTCATTTCATAAGTCCTATTCCTCTGATGCCTGTGCAGCATTGCTGTGCTGCGGTGAGCTATACTATTTATCGTTCATGTTCTACTGATGCTAGCTAGCTCTGTGTCTCTTCAGCTGGATAATGTTAGTGACACTGAAGTCCCCCATGGTAGTGTAACTGTTCATTAGCAAACATTTCACCATCCGGCTGTATAATAGTAGTGGACAGACTGAGGAAAGCGCCTCAGTTCATGAGTCTGATCCAGACCTGTGCTTGTACTGTCAGTGAATATAAATGTATTTTGTTTGCATGACTTTAGGTTTGCCTTAATTCTTACCTCATTTGCATCCTTTTGATCAGAAAAAAGAGCTATGTCAGAGGACCGAAATATGACAAAACTTTAAAAGAAGTGAACCCTGCTAAAGTGTTCCCTTAATTGAAAGTTAACATATAAATATATATAATATATATAAAATACATTTAAAATACTGTTTTATTGGAAGTTTAAAACATTATGTTTGGAGTGTTACTAATTTCTGCTTGAAATTTTCATAATAAGCTTCCAAAGAGGTTGAGATCAATGTCCCCAAATAAATTTATAATATTTGACTTCTCATTTGTTTTATTTTAACACTAGTAGCTTGTTAGTATTAGTCTTCCAAAGACGGTTCAAACCATTATATATCCAAACAGTTGGTCAGCAGACTTCCTGGTTATGCCTGGGAAACATCCCGCCTGTGCACAGGTCTTTTCAGAAACTTCCTGCTTCCCACTGCAACCTCATATGTTCCCCAAATTCTAGAAAGGCTGGAAATCTTCTGGTTAGGCCTTCAATGTTGCATGTGGAGGAGCGGTTACAAATGAAACTCTCAAGATCAAAGCACTTGGGTGCCCAGGGCAGGCTTTGTATGCTTCAGTTAAATTTATACACTAGTCCACAAAGAGGGAGAATATTCGAGTGTAAAGATGTGAAATGATTTGTCCCCCAGAGGGAAGTTAGAACTATGGCTGCAAGTATTTGCATTCCATAAAATTAATTGAGACTTATTCTCCAGGTCTGAGCATCTAGATAAGTCCAGTAAAACTTAGTTGCAACAGTTTAGCTGGGTTACAAATCAGATAATACGATTGGAGAAACTTTTCTCTGTAGGAGATGCACATCCTTATATACTAGTTTATGTTTGAAGCTATGAGTGTTTTCATATGCAACTTCAAGTAACTATAGTAGTGAGTACTTCTCTCCCCTTGTCCTATTCAAGATGAAGGTGAAAGTTTTCTAAACAAGTCTTTTATTGCGCTAGACTGGTCAATCAGGAACTGGCTTTGCAATACAGTGCAAATATTTAAGTTTACTCCTATCAGCTGCCAAAACAGCGATTGCTCTGGTTGGAGATTTAGTTCTTGCCCATGTCAGGAGCTGATTCAAAACTGAATCCTCCACCTCCCTTCCCCTCTAAAAGAGACTGACTTCACCCTCAGGGAGGTTTGTGGGCCAGATGATGCGAATACGGACATTAAGTGCTCTGCTCGTTTGGTTTGATGATGAACCACAGGGTTAAAGAGATCACACCCCTCTCACTCCAGCCATCTTTGTTTTGCAGTGTTTCCCCTGACCCAGAGGCAGTTCTCACAACATGCTTGGCCAATCCTGCTCAACAGCCTTAACGTTTGAGGAGCACGTTCTAACCCTCTCCTTCTACCTCACCTTCAGAATCTCAGCTTCATATTGCTGTATTTTGAAAGCAGCACCTCCAGGGAACACAACCGTTTCCCAAAACAGCCTCTTCATGAATGATCTCCTGTTTGGTGTCTTACTCAATATAGCAATATAAGCTCAACACAGAGATCCCTGATACAGTTTAATTTTCAGGTTGCTTTCTTGCAAGGCAGCCAGTTCTAGTACATAAAAATGCAACCTAATGGGTCGCCAGCTTTCTCTATGCAGGAGGTATAACCCTTTCTCACACTTGCCTGTAAGACATACTAATGTCAGGAACTGTTGGCTCACTTCACATAGCTCGGCAGCAATTCCTACTGTGGGGATAAGTGGAGTATACAAGCCACACACATGATTTCTGCTTTTAGTGAATAACCTCAAGTTTGGGGGTTCTTAGAAAATTAGAATTGTTTATGGGTTAAATAACCTAGAACTTTCCCAAGAACAGGCTATGTGTTAATTAAAAGTGGAACATACGTTGATCTGGATCATTTCTTTGCTAGTCCCTGGCAATTCCTGGGCAAAACCTAGGAATTTGCGCCATGGGATCGGGAGGAAGTTATCTGATGGCACACGATGCTGCCACCTTGCTTAATCTAATTAGTTCAGGATCAGTGGTTAGGTAAGGAGTCTATCTGAGGATGCTACTTTGAGCTCCATGTTGGAAAAAGGCAGGCTATAACCGTATGCTTTTTAAAAAGCGAAACCAAATTGGCTAAGAAATACTAAGTAACTCCAGGGCTTTTTTTGTCATAGAACGCGTTCCAGCACCCATTTTTGACAGATTTTTCCAAGTGATTCTGAATTGTCCTGTCGGGTGTAGCAAGTCGGCGGCAAAAATCATTAAAATAGTGCATTTGGGCTGCTTGTGTATCCATGCTGATTGTGAGGGTGCTGGTCGGCTTGGGACGCTGCTCGGCTTGGGATCGGTCGTGTGGTTGCGCTCTGAGTGCTTACTGCCGGCAGCAACCATTCTGTTTATGTGTGTGTGTAGAGTGACTGGCTATGTGCAAAAGGTAAATAAGTTCTTTATTTCAAAAAAAGTTGGTGAATTGAAAATCTTTAGTGTAAAAGTGTGACTCAAAGAAGCGAGTTCCAGCACCTTTTTTTTTTTTTACCAAAAAAAAAAAAAAAGCACTGAGTAAATCACAATACTGAAAATGTATGCCCCTTGCCCAGACATCAGGTGAATAGCAAGGTGGTGAAGTGTATCCAGGCAGGCCTGGTGGCTACCAGTGGGTAAGGATGCCTTCCCACTACCCAAAATATATGTGTTCAAGCCACAAGGGGGGAACCTTCTTTTGGGGACAGGCCAAAGCTTAGTGACTTAATCTTAACCTTCAATAGACCCAAACCAATGTAAGAATTGCTACTTTGCTGGTCATCTCACTACTGCGTAAATGACAGTTCCTTCAAGACTGGGATCTATTTTGGAATCTATCCTGGCAGGGTTGAATGGAAAGTTGGTAAATTCTTCCTTCAATTATAAGAAAATCTTGGAAGCTTTATTTTTTAAATTAGTAAAATATGTCAGAATAAGTTGAGTTGTCTGGAAAAAATCAAAGTTGAACACTATGTAGGCACATTTTTATTAAATAGTTTATTAACATGAAATAACAAGAATTACCCTGAGACATAGAAACATCAAAGAGCTAGAGACTGGATGAATTTTAAGTTGACAGTTTGTGCAAATCTCGTAACAGTTTAAAGTTCCCCAGGAGCTGGAAAGTCAGCAATTTACTGCAAATTTCAGAAGCACAATTGCACCCTTCCCTTCCTTAAGGAAACATACCCTTCATCATCAACCAGTCGTATTATGCTGCAAATACAACCTTTATTATCAACTTGAAAATATTATGCACTTCAACACTGTCCAATGCATGAATATCTCACCCATATTTTCCCCCTTGTTCTTATAAAACTGCATATTCAGAAAAGGAGCAACAGTGTTCATAACACTATCCAGTATAAGCTGTCAGTTTTTTTATAGATGGATAGCAAAAACTCATGACTGGAACTCCAACTAGATATTTGTTACACTAATACCAGACAGAAGAGTTTTTCAGCTTCAGTAATACTGAAATTCTTTTTTCTAGCATAGTGAGCTTGAAGTAAGTGGACTATTGACCTCTACCAAAAGCTGTACAGTAAAAATTAGGTTTATGCATTACTTTCACTATGAAGCTATTCTTTAAATTTTATTAAAATAAAGTAGTCCCCCCAAAATTCGCAGCGGTTATCTTCCTAAAGCCCCCGCTAATTGTGAAAAACCATGAATTTGGTGCTGGCGATGGGCGCTGGCCGCAAAGGCGGCGTCGGCCGGGTCGGGCTGGGGGGCGGGGCGGGTGTGCACATGGCGAGGCAGGGGCGGGGGTGTGCGCGTGCAGAGATCGTTTTCTCCAAGCGAGTCCAAACTCAGAGGAAACGATCTCCTTGAAAGTAAGCCTCCACACAGCAAGGTGCCGGCTTACTTGCAAGGAGATCGGCTTGGACTCGCTCAGAGAAAAATCCCGCTAAAGACTGAAGCCGCAAAGGGGGTATACTGTATTTATGGGCTGACATACTACCCCAAGCCCACCCAAGGCACTGAAGAAAATAAACGTGTAAAAACATACAATAATACAATAAAGTGAAACTTTAAAACGGTACAGGGCAATGTGTTAAATTAGGCAGCATATAAAACTTGTCATCACTCCATTAATAGAACATTAATTTTAAGAACAACAATTTGACTGACAAAGCACATTAACACTAATTTGAAATAGGTAAATTTTCATAGTCATTTTGAAAACTGGAATTGAGAAGCCTGACCACACATCCTTTGAAAGCATCTTCCAGAAAGCAAGAGCCACAACTAAGAACTAAGAAGACCTGTTAGTTCCTACCACTCTAGGTAACCTCAAAAGGCAAGTCAAGTAAATCTTAAAGAATGGTCAGGTTCCAGTGGGTGCAGGAACTCCTTCAGCTATCCAGGCCCCAAACTGTTTCAGATGACAAAGGCCAAAACAAGCATGTTGAGCTGGGCCTGGAAGAGCAGCTGTAAGCAGTGCAACTGGTACAAGATCAGTGAGTGCTCAAGCTGCAAATTCTGCATCCGCAGGTTCAGGGTCATCTTCAAAAGCAGATCCAAGTAGCATACATTGCAGTAGTTTAGTCTACATGACCAACACTATTTTTTTTTTTTCAATCTGGGAAAAATAGCTGCTAGTGTATCAACCTAAACTGGTAAAAGGCACTCCTGGCTACTTCTGTCACCTGTGTTTCCTCAGATGGGACAAGCCCAGAACCCTTAAACTGCAAAATAGGTCCTTCAAGGGAGCTCATCCAAAACAAGCTATGCCCATCTGCCCAGGTCAGTTAGCTTTCATATCCACAGCACTTCTATCTTGAGCAACATGTTTATTCTTATGGATTCCAAAACAGCCTCCAAATACCCATTCAAGAATTCCAGCCTCCTTTTGATAGGTGGGGTAGAAAAAAGAGCTAAAGCTATGTCATCAGCTTACTGCTGATACTGAAGACCAACCTTGACATGACTTCTCCCAGTAGTGCTGCTTGATTGTTAAAACATGGAGGTGGGGGGCAAGATCAAAAGCGGAGGCATGCCATGTCACAGGGCAGAACAGCGGTACTGCACCCCCCCTTTCTGAGGCCATCACTCCAGGAAGGACCAGATCCACTGCAACGCTATGTCTCCCAAGCTCATCCCAGCCGAGCACCCTAGACTGATGCTAGGGCCAGTGGTATCAGAGGCCACTGCAAGGTCCAGAACTAATATGGCTGCACTAAGTCTTCCAGCAGGAGGGAGGCCATTTCCAGCCCCAACTTGAAACTGACATGCAGCAGATCCAACTCAATCAATTTCTTTCAGGACTACCTGGATCTGACAGGTCTCCCTCTATCTCCAACATCTTGCTCCAGCATGAAATATTGGATGCAGAACAGTATTGTTCAACCATCATGGCACAGAATTAGTGCTTTCGAAAGAGCTCTCACTATTGCCTCTGTCAGAGAAGTACCAATTACTTCTGAGCTAATCTCAGCTCTAAGGTAATCCCAGTCCAGCTCTGACAGGAAGAACAAGCAATCCAGGACATGTGCTGTAAGTCCGAGGTCTCTGGTTAGTCTGTCTTCTGTAACAAGACCAGGTACATAGTGTCCTAGCTGCATGGATCCAAATGATTTAAAATGCAATAAGTAAAACAGTGACAAAATGAGCAATCGTGTTAGCTTTTGAAAGTATTTCCCAGACCTTTTATTCAATAGTCTCATCACTCTAAACAACTCTGCTGGATGACAAGGTGGTGACAAAGTATTTTTTTTTTTTCATTGCTGTCAATAATCATAGTGGGGAACCTTTTTGGCTGCAAAAACTTCCTGAAAGCATGTCAGACACATGCCAACAGAGCTGGGACCACTCCTACTATTCATATTAATAACACGTACACACATGTATATGATGTATGTACATACACACTGACCTAGAGGGCGAGGGGCTACCCCTGTCTCTAATGGATAGATTTCCTAAGATACAGTGTAACATTGATCAGTTGGACCATTACCTTCAATGTCAGTTCGGCCACCAGGTCACATCATCTACTCAGCTCCACCCTAGCTAGATTCCAAGTTCTGGTTGGCAATTTAAGACTACCTTCCTTGCCAATTCTGTTCATGAATTAGGAAGTGATAATTGATTGTCTCTAGAAAAATGCCAAAATCGGAAAAAGAAGATGCAGCTTTTCACCACTTCTCAGCTGTTTTCTAGTGGCAACTCAGAAGTGTATCCTAAACAAATCACTTCATCCGTGGAATCCAAAAGTTTTTTTATCAACCTTTGTATTAGTGCAGTAAAATTATATAAATCTTCTCCATGATAGTTACATGGCTCAATTGCTCCTGATGTTTTTCCTTTCCTCTTCCGAACAGGAAGCTCTTTAGTAGACCGATTCTGAAGCTTTACAGTAGAAAAGATCCTGGCAAGTTCAACTTACGACTTTAGATATGAAAGCTGCCAGATGATGCCTGTGTGCTTCAAGGTGGAATTAAGAGGGGAAGCTGAGTTGCTTCCTAAACCATTTGATGCTAGTGTGCATGAAGAAATCTGGGCCTATGTTTTTTTTTTTTGAAAGAGAGTGAACAAACAAGGAAGAGCTTTGGTTATTGTGCTGTGGTATGGTTATGATCATAAACTAGAGACCGGAAGAAATGTGTAGTTCCATACAAGAAGCTGACTATACAGAATTTGGAAGTTGCAGTCATTGAAGCACTTTGTGCATGCATGAGCACACACAATTACAACAGAGAAGATACACAAGTTATGAAAAAGGGTTTTATTTCTCAACTGCTATTACAGGTGCAAAAACCTTTCATTGTGAAACTATTTCAAAATATTATGTAAGAGGTATTTCTTATTTATAATGCTTCTAGAATAAAAATGTCTGCCCTCAAAATATTTAACTTTTACTAAATTTATTCCAACAAAACAGCAGCTTCCATCTAGAACCACCAGTGCAAGAATAAGCAGATAGATACACTGTTGCAGGTCTATCTCCAAAATACTCTTTAAAACCCTTAGGGATAAAATATAGTTTTGTTGTTCAGAATGTTGTAGTTGCAATAAGAAAACTGCAACAACTGGGGAATTAAAAAGGTTTAAATTTCACTGAGTTTAACTAACAGGATGAAAACATACATTGGACCTATGACATGCCCACAAATAGTATGAAACAAACTGATAATAATACACAGTCCAGGTTAAGGCACTCAGTTGTTGTCTTCATCTTCTTCACGTCTACGACGGAAATTCAGGGTGGTCTGTCCTCTCTCAGGATCTGGCATTCGAAGTATTCGTATAAGAGTACTCTGTGGCAGACTACTAGATATAAAACAGAAAGACAACTTCTTTACGATTCTTTCTTGAAAACCTTTTACTCTTGGACAATGCCAATTCCTTTGCTTCCTAGAACAGTACGACACTTTAAAATGCCAAAACAGCTAATTACGGTGCTCTATTCAAACCTTTCAGGAGCTTGTTCCATAGAACACTTGCACCCTTGGCACAATCTTCTAACTAGCTAGATATCAATACTGGGCAAAACTCTAGAACAGATGATTAAGTGCTCAGTTTGTGAGCGTTGAGAAAAGAAAGTACTGATAACTAACCTCCTAATAATTCTTAATTATCAAGCATAAACCATGCCACACTAACTGTATTTCCTTTTTGACAGAGGTGCTATTTTGATAAATGATGGGTATCTGCTGACATGGTCATATTAATTTCAAGCCAAGTACTTGTGGCCCCATTAATGCCTCTGCTTCAGCCTGGAGGGTGATCTCAACAGGAGTGGCCTTGGCCCTGTGCTGTTCAACACTTCTATAAATAACTCAGGTGAGGGTGCAGAGGGGATGATGAAGCTGGGAGAGATAGTGCAACATCACAGAAGAAAAAATGAAGATTAAAAATCATGTCAGGTCACAGCAATACTGCAACCTGATAGCAATATGTCACAGCAATACTGTTCTGAGGGGAACAAAATGACATTCCCCAGAAGATTTAGGTAAAGTCCTGCACAAAGAAAATCAGAGGTGCAAGTACAGGATGGGGGAGATCTGGCTTTCCATCAGCACATGGGAAAAGAATTTATGTTCTCTAGTCAGTCACAAGCTGAACATGAGCCAGCAGCCTGATGTGGCAGCTAAAAAAGTGAATGCAATCTTACACTTCATTTACAGAAAAATATTGCCTAAACCACAAGAATGTTCATTTGACTCTAATTTGCACTGGCAAATTAAATCTGGAGGACTATAACCAATTCAGGATGCCACATTTTAAAAGGACTTTGACAAACTGAAGTCTCACTAGAAGAGAATATCCAGGACAGTAAGGGATCTGGAAACCAAGAGCAATGCAGAATAGTTGAAGAGAAGGAGAGGGGTAATAGTTGCTTGAAGTGATGTCATGCAGTGATTAGATCAGGTTTGTTCTCTTTTCAAATTATGAGAACTTGCTTAACAATGAAGGCTGTCCAAAAGCAGCAGAAGATTTGAAGTGACTGAAAGATTTGTCAATGTATAGATTAATAATTTCTTTATTGTTTAACTCGCATAGAGTGTTGAAAGACAGGAAGATAGATAGATTTGGGGGGGCTGAATGTATAGGTTATACTTGCCTAAATTCCCTTGGCAATTTTTTTCATTATAGCTTGCTTTGTTCGTTTTAGTTTGCTGTTTCACATTCTTTTTTATATTAAGATAAAAATTTTCAAACAAAACAAAACAAAACAATACAATACAATGAAGGCTGTTCAGCAGGGGAACAGACTGCCTTGGGAGCTGGTGAGCTCCTCTTCATGGGAGGTATTTTAAACAGACACTATGAAGATCTGTCAGGGATGCTATAGCTGCATTCAGTAGTCCAGACCCTGCACTAAGCAAGGGAGTCAGACCTCCATGGTTTCTTCTTGCTCTATGAGCAAGCTGAGAGGTATGATTTTGCACAACAGCTGCTGTTTGAGTAGTAGGATCTTCCTATCCACCACTTGTTTCCCAGGGAACCATGTATAGGCCAGGCACAGACCAGGTAGCAGAGTAATGGCATTTAACACAATAGTGTATCTATTCGCTACTGCAGCCAACAGAGATTCAGAGGAACAATCTCATGGCTGCAGTATAATGCAAAGTTACATAAAGAGTTGCACGAGGAGTATGTCAACTTCCAAAGAAGAGTTCACAACAGAAGGTTAGTCAAGCATTTGCCAGAGATACTTTGATACAGGCAGGCTTTGGCAGCTGAGGTGGAGCAACTGAAAATGAGGATGAGGCTCTTGAGGGTTCCAGTTAAATTGAAACATTCAGTTGTTACAGAACACCCTGCTGCATCTTTCTGCCGAATGATGCACTGGCAAAGCATAACGATTAATTTTATTATGCTGAGTGAACACATGGATGAGCAGGTCAAGGCCCTGAAAATCCCTTTTATGGGAGGACTGCCCTGAAAAGGTGAAAGTTAATTGCTCCATTTAAGACCCTGGAGGAGCCAACACTTTTGCTGTGCATGACTAAATGATTTAAGATCTCTACTTCCTAGTTAAAATTGATTTGAAAACCTTCTTTCCTGTACAGGTTTTCATGAAAGGAACTACAGGAGCCTCCGTCTTTCTTTCTGAACAACAGAACCCACAAATGTGTGTATCCTTTGCACATTTACCCAAAAGAGATTATTTTGAAAAAATTGTGAGCTGAAGATATTGGCATAGGAAAATCTTTTTTTAAAAGCTTCTTTCACTGAACCTTGTCGACAGGTTCTTGCTTTAAGGGTCATGCTTTACCTTTCTGCCACATCTCTTAGGTGAATATGGAGAGTACAAATCAAGGAGTTTTCCAAAGCAAATACCCTTTTCTTGTTGCAATTAAGTACTGGTTTTAATTACATGCATGTCTTACTTTTCTATACTGTCTTCCCTTTTTAAGCATACTATTTCAAGAGCAAGGATTTCTAAAACCTAATTTTAGTCCTTGTATTTTTCACAGTTTTAGTGTTCCTTGTTGACATCATGGTCCAAAAAGCCAGCAAGATTTAAATTTAAGTTAGCCATAAACAGCGTACTTGACATTACAAAAGATGACTGCAGTATATGATAGAGGAGGTGGTGGAAGTGAAATACATTGTAAAAGGATGTTCAGATTATTGCCTTCTTTTATGTCTACAGGGCAGAGGGTGAAGAACAAGTTACCTCATGTTCTGCGGGGAGAGCAAAATAAATTGTCGATAACGCTGAGAATCCGCCATGTTAACCATCATGTCCACTGCAATTCTCCTGTTAATCACGTCCTAAAAGATACCAGAAATGTGCAGTGTGTTGATATATTTTTATAAATACTTTTCATTCAAATTTATTAATACAATGTCATAAATTAGGTTAGGATCTAGAGAGTAATCGACCCCAGGTGGAGAGAGGAAGGTTGAGGAAAGGAATTTACAGAAAGAATAAGGAATGGTTTGTTTATTTATTGGTTGGCTGGTTGAATGAAAGAGAAAGAGAGAGCTCACAAGGGTCACAAGCAGGTAGGAATGTCTGAAAAGTCGAGGCAACTGCAAGTGTGGTGGAAAGGAAGCTGGGGGACTGGATGGGAGCCCCCCCCCCCCATCTGGACTCTCTACAGGGGCAGTGCCAAGCTGTGGAAGTTTTCTCTGATCCAGGCCTAGCGCTGCCTGGCAAACCCCATATGTGTGATGCACAGAGATCATGAAGAAGGACTAGAGAGTAATACAATTAATACTGTTGCTTGGAAAACTGATTCCACACCACCTTTGTCCTTTCCAATTTATTTATCCTCTGGAGACTTTATCTAAGCAAATGTAAATTGTCAGTAGGCCATTACCACCAGTTAACATGTTTTTATATCCACTCTTGGTGTTAAGAAGTCTATTCTTTTGTTAGTAGAGTTGATAATAACCTTCTGGGTATAACCACATTAAAAGGCAGGATTTGACTTATTGTAATCTCCTATACATACAGGGGGGCAAAGGTTGCTTTTTTACTAGCTGGACAGCACTAACGATGGGTGAAGGAGCATTATTCAAGCTCCGTAAGATTCTGCTGCCCGCTCTCACGCTCATTTTACCTTCTTCTCACTCCTGAGCATGGATGTACTAAAAAACAAAAACAGGAAAATGTGCAATTTTCCAAGCTATTTTTCAAACAGTGAAGACAGACAAAAATGGGCTGGGGGAGAAAACACTTTGGCTTTCTTTGGCCCAGCTCCCTGGAGCCCAGCCTTTGTCCTCTCTGCCCAAAGTCGGCCTTGTCCTGAGCATCTGCCTTGGTGTCCAGCTGGAAGCGAGTCCAAGCAAGTCTGCAGCGCTGGCTTGTGCACATGCCCCCACCACCTGTGTGCGCATACTATGCAAGCGGAATTCTGCTTTGCACACTTTGCTCAAAGAATTGTGCACTTGGCACAAAGAGGGGTCCACTAACATTCCCAAGTATTTGCAGACTTGATCTTGGCTTGGCTAACCTGACCAGGGCCAAGAGTAGGAAAGAAGTCCAGTGGGTGCAAGACAGCCAAATTCCAATCAGATTTTTGCGATATTTTCCAATCAGATACTTTTATTACATTGATTTGAGCATGAAAATGTGTCATTTTCTCCAAAGCAGTGCATTTTAAAGAGTAATTTTTTTTTTTGCAAAAACAATTGTAAGTTCATCAATGTGTGAGTTTTTCATAGTTGCAAATGTGGCATTTTCATCTGATTTTTAAGCAGCACAGGAATATATTCCTAGACTAGGAATATATTCCTAGACTTGGTGGAAGATAAGCTCCTCTCGTACCTTTGCCAGAGAAAAAACATCCCCTACCCCAAGCCGGTAGAAGAGGAACTATCCAAACCATTGTGGAAACTAATAAAGCTAGTTTGAAACCTGCAACTGTAGAAAGAATATTGGAGCAAAACAGTAGCATAAGCAGAGGAATATCACTGTAAGACCCTGCCCAACTTCCCCTACATAAACTTATAAATGCAGCCTAAGAAACATCCTTATCTAAGATTTTCCTTCTAAGAGGTAGAGAAAGACACAGTTGATATTATATCAAATTTCTACTTCTTCTATAGGTGGTTAGACAGCAATCATTCATTTCTGGAATGTACAAGACAGGATCACTCTACAGGGTGGGCTGTTCCAATGTGAAAAAATCCCTCTAAACATTTTCATAACTTTCTGGATAACAGAGAAAATTGAAGGTCATCCTAAATGGTTCTGATTTGTTTCAGTTAAATGAGCCAGAAGAGACTTGCCAATTATTATGGATCAGTGATATCTGGAAGTACTTGTACCTGAATCTTTTTTTGTAGATTCAAATAAACATGCACTATTGAAGGTACTATAATAAAGAACCAGTCAGAATTTCTGTCTATATAGCTAAAACCCTACTTCTAACTGCATTAGGTGCATAAGATATAGGTGTCTAGCTTGTCCCAAAACAGTACATCAATTTTAAGGGAATAATTTAATATTCCCTTAATATATTACATGTTTGTATTCCAGAAAAGCTGTCCCTCAGCTACTTTTATTTAAGCAGTCTAAATTCAAAATTAAAAATGTCACGTGTGTTATCAAAGTTGCTATATCAAAGAACAGGCTACTATGAAGATATTTAGATACAATTTGAAATGGAAAACAATACCAAGCAAATTACTGAGAACCATGTGTTCCCTACATTACTTCATCTTGTTTCCAGAGCAGCTCTGGATTTGTAGGTCATGATACTGATTTGCACAGGGCTACCTGTTTTGCTTCATGGCTGCTTTGTATTTAAACAAGGATTTCCCATAACCAAACCCAACATACTACCACTACACCACAGTATTCTCAATATTAACTTTTGCGTTCCATCCTGCCAAAGAGCTTACTAGGGTTCTCATTCACTCACTGACAAGGCTGGACATATGCAACATCTTATCTACCCAAGATCCACTACGGGGTGGTAAAGAGCACCCATACTCTTCCTGCTAATGAAGTTTGAAAAACCTCAGGTGCTTAGTATAATGACTATCAGAACAAGTAAATTCAGCAAACTGTACCATAAAGACGTCAAATTCATCCAAACATCGGAATGGAGATTCAGCAATGGACCAGAGTGAAAGGATGAAGCAAACGGTGGAAAAGGAACGTTCACCTCCAGATAAAGATTTCATGTCATCCAGAGCAGCCTTGTTTCCCTCTCCTGGTTGCACCTACAGTTGTATAAAGAAGGGGGGAAATGAACTGAAGCAATGTAACTGAAAAACAACACATTTCCAATAGAGACAAAATTTATTTAATATTGTGCATAATACACACAGGAGAACTAACTGGACTTTACCTAGGAATGGACAAATAAGCAATTTCTACCAGTGCCTAGAATCTCTAAAACGCCACCTTGAAATCAGCCTTGCCTCATTTCCCATGCTATTTTGGCCTCTTTTTTCATTTTGTTCAAATGGGAAACTGCCCTGGTTGCCTTGTGGGATGACCTTTGTGGGAAGAGAGATGGGGGAGCGCAACCCTATTGATTCTCTTGGACCTCTCAGTGGCTTTTGATACCATCAACCATGGTATCCTTCTGGATCGGCTGGCTGGGCTTGGAGTAGGAGGTACTGCATTGAGGTACCTGACCAACCAATTTCAGAAGGTGGTGCTGTGGGACGATCGTTCTGCAGCATGGCATAATTGCCATGGAGTACCACAGGGCTCCATTCTATCCCCCCATGCTTTTTAACATCTACATAAAACCACTGGGGGAGGTTATCTGGAGGTATGGGCTGAGGTGCCATCAATATGCAGATGACACTCAGCTCCAGGGGAAGTGTGGTCAGTGGGCAGATCGTCTGTCCAGCTGGGAGATATTCAACCTGTCCAGGACAGGGTTGCACGCCCATTAAAGGACAATGGTTGTACCTTGGAGGTGCTCCCAAAGTATTGTCACTTGAGTCACTGGTGGACTCGGTGGTATGGAGCACCTTTTAGCACTGTAGGCTGGTTTACCAGCAAGAACCCCACTTGGACAGGGAAAGCCTAGCTACAGTGATCCTTGCCTTGGTAGCCTCTAAAGAAAAGCTTCACAGCCCAGAGGGGCCTGCCCTAGATGAGGGACTCACTACCCTCCCTGGTAGTTTACATAATATTTGTGTTCATGTAAATTAAAGCATAACTCTTAACAAAAACATGTAATATTATAAACATAACTGATCTCATAAAATGTTAGGCATACTGGTGCTTAAACTTATATGGGTGTAAATGAGAAAAAGCAGCACACATATCATTTGTAGCCATTTTTGTAAAGAAAAAAGGAACAGATGAATGGCTAAGCAAAGGACTGGCCTGAAGCCTCAAACAGGCGACAAAAGGACCAAACAAACCGAGAACAAAGCACATAAGAAAGTTCAATAAGGGTTCTATCCTAAAATAATGTTAAATAAAATACAGAAATTTGACAAGCCAAGCAAACTGAGAAAATGGCGGGAGCCCATCTATTTATACAATGGGGAAGGGGAGGCGGAGCTCCTGCCAAAAATTCTAGGCTTAGCTTGAGGAATCTTCCCAAACATGGCACTGTGCAGGTGCAGCACCCATCTCTGTGATGCACAGAGACCGTGACGAAGAACAGGGACTGTTAATCACTATATGAATTTAGGAGCCAATTACCTTGTCCATCCAATCAAAAAAGCCTATTGTGGCTTGCTTAAGCCATGGTGTGCTACAGCTTATGCTGAAAGGGGTTTGAATATTCAAATAGCTTGATGGCTTCTTGTACTTTGTGCAACCAGGCAGCAGGGGTTGTGCAATGCATAGTGCTAGAACTGGTCCATGGGCTCAGCAAAGATTATTTAACACTTGCACAATCCCCAATGCTTGGTTTCACTTAACAAGACAAAGTGTGGCCAGATGCTTAATATTTTAAATGGTATGCAACAATCATGTAAAACCTCTCAAGTATACAGGAAAAACATGATTCATTAAGTTGGCTGTCAACAGGCTGCTTGGTAGTCACCAGCAATTGGAAATTGTCCAAAGGAGACCAGTCAACCAAAGAGCTCCTGATTAGCAGACAATATCCAATATGAGCCCAGCACTCAAACAAAACCAAGGAACATTAGACACACTCAGTTTCATGTTGACAGAAATGTCAAGCCAACATTTTTGTGCCAGGAGACTCCTGTTGGTCCTCTCTTTGCACTGAGCAACTGAAGAATGTTTTGAAGGGTGGTCATCCAAAACTTTTTAGTTTTGATGAATTTGTTGACACCACGTAAGTCCAATATCGGACAAAGACCACCGTCACGTTTAGGAACTGTGAAATATCTTGAGTAGAAACCGTGTAACCCCTTGGAGTGTGCAAGTTGTTGGATCGCTCCCTTATGAAGAAGCTGTTGAACTTCGACTTTAAGAACCGATGACTGAGGTGTAAATCGGATCGGTCCCGATGGGGGTACGGTATCAAATTCAATTCTGTAACCATGCTCCACGATGGATAAAACCCATTGATCAGATGTGATGGACTCCCAAATGGGGAGTCGATTTTGCAGTTGATCCCCAGAAGGAAGAGGGGAGGGTGGGTTCAGGAGATGAGAAGAAGCTCACTCAGCCCATCAGCGCTGGCATTTATCCAAATCCGGTTGGCGGCGGCTCTGTTGAAAATGCTGTGGTGGTTGCTTTCAGCACTGCTGCCGAAACTGCTGCCAGCCAGAGAATTGTGTATAGGGTTGATATCGGTACGACGGATGGGACCAAGACCACTTACGTCGAGACTGGTTGGGGACTTCCATCTGATGAGCTGTCACATGCGATTCATAAATCGCCTTCATCTTGTGGTCCGTCCGAGCATTGAACAGCTACGAGCCGTCGAAGGGCATGTTCTTGATGCAGCGCTTTGTTTCATCTGGAAAGTTGAAGTTCTGGAGCCAGGCATGGTGACAGAGGGCTACAGCACCAACAAGGGCCTTCGAGTAGCAATCGACATGGTGTCTCACTGTGGAGAGTTGTTGGACTGCCACCTGCATTGCCTCTTTGGTGAAAATCTCTCTGCTGTTCTGGAAGCAATGCTGATATTTTCCAGCTTTTGCATAAGAAAATACTGGTAGTGGGCCAGTGTCGCCTCATAATTGGAAATCTGGAGGCCGAGACCTGTGGCAGCATAAATACAGCGAGCCAACATGTTGATCTTCCGCCCTTCTTTATTGTGAAGAGTGGTGTGTTCCCTTGACTTGAGATGATTCCATGACAATCGAGTTCAGTCTCAGGTGATGCAGGAGGAATGGAATATCCTGTTCACAAAGTCAATACATGGATTCATAATGTCATGAAGTCGGCTGCGGCTGATTGGGGAAGTTCCATGGTTCCATCATCACCTGACAAAGCATGGTGATAAGCGGCAAAATGATGGCGGTGGATTGTTCACTTTTGACGATGTTGTAAAACTTATCAGTACTGGGATTGAAGCAGTGCTGGGTTTTGATCTCCAGTGACCTTGTCAATCTCGCCATCAGTTCCCCAAACGTTGAGTATGACTCCTCTGGTGAGCTGGGACCTTGCATGGTGATCACTGCATCCAATGAAGTGGGCGCTACTTCCAAGTCCTCCGACTCAGAGTCATAATGGAGTGGAGGACTGAAGGAGTCGTCAGCCAGTGAAGAAGGACGCCTGGACTGAGCTGCGCCGGATGTCGATGGAACGTCCCTTGGGACCGGAGAGAGGGTACAGTCACGTACCGAAGGGTAGTACCCATACAGTGCATAGTCGTCCCATGGTTCATGATGGGCCGATCCATGGGTCAATTGCACCCCTTCTCCAGAGGGATGGATAGAAGCACGCTGTTGGTATTGCACCTGCTGAGGCGGGGCCCTCGGGAAAGCCTCAGGCGACTGCTGCGGTGTGGGTGAGCACACCATCGGAGGAGCCATCTGAGGAGAGTCCCAAATCTCTCCATCAGAGATTGATCCCAACATGGCTACCTCCTAGTGCTCAGGCGAAGACGGGATGGAAGGGACTACCTGTCATGGTGACCCAGGCAGAGTCACCTGCATCGCCAACTGGAGAGCCGGTCAGGTTGGTGTTGGTACCAAATTGGCTGTTGGGACCGACGGAGGAGACAAACCTGAATCATGGTGTCGGGGTTGATCAGTTTTCTTGGATCGCCATCTTCTCCTTCTTAGGCTTCTTGTGACCTGAGGACTTGTCCGATCCACTGTGCTTCCTCTTCTCCTTTTGTTTGTGTGGAGATTTAGAGAAGTGCTTACTCTCCGGCAGAGCAGTGCCATCAGACAATGGGTGGGGCAGAGGGGCAGCCGAAGAGGAGGGCTGCGCAGTGGATTGGCCCGCTAGTTGATCAGACTGAAGCAGGGCCTGGTCCCATGAGAGTTTGCGTAGGCGGTTCTCTCAATTTTTCTGCGCCTGCTTTGTAAAGGCCTGGCAATGGCCGCATTTATCAGTCGTGAGTCCTTCTCCAAGACAAAGATGACACAGGTCATGCGGATCAGTAGGAGACATCTTAGATCTGCACTGAGAGCAATTGTGGAAAGCTGCACGCTGAGCCATCAAGAATGAAAAGGAGAAGATAGTGAAGCTTAGAATGTAAGAGAGAAAAACTTTTTGGGCGGGGAGGGTAACGGAAAAAAGGGGATGGGGGAATGTGAAGAAACTTCTAACAGGGAGGGTAATAACTTGGAATCTTAACAAGAAGCTAAGAGAAACAACGGTTTAAGGGAGAACAAGATACACGATATAGTCACAAACTGAGAGACGAAAGGTTCGAGGCACTGCAAATGGTGGCCGCAAGAAGACTGAGGAAATGGCAGGCACTCTGCCTTCTTATACTGTAGGGGGAGGGGTGTGGTGTTCCCGCCAAAACTGTTAAGCTTTTAAATCTTCCCGGCTACAGGCACTGCACAGGCGCAGCACCCATATGTGTGAATGCACAGAGGCCACGACGAAGAACAAAAGAATTGTTATACGGCCTTGGTCATAAAAGAGAGGAGACCCAGCAACGAAGGATCGTACCTGATTCTTTTATATTTGATCTGTCAAGATTACAATCACATTTTAAAAACCATGTCACAGTATTTCCCACTGTTCAGTTCAATCCCTTCCCTTCCCCTTTTAAGAATCAGAACCCCAGAATTTAATTTTAAAAAACAATTTTCTAAAATCTGAGATTAAAGATTCCACCCTTCAAATATTGATAAGCAGGTGACTAAAATATTTTGAATGGAGTTGCAAGGCTGGTATGATGCTGAATCAGACCAGTGATGAAAGTCCTCCTTTCTGCCACACCACCTTCAGTGTGAAGTAGGCCCTCTGTACCTGATTGCATGGGGACTCAGACAGCATCATGTGCATTGGATCATCCATGTGACTGGAGATTCAAGTGAAGAGCCATGCATATGATGACTGCATCAGCCACACCTCTGCCATGTCATTTGCATGCCAGCCCTCAATCAATATATGACGTTAGGCTGGCATCATGTAAGAAAAACATTGACCCAAAAAACAACCATTACAAATCAGTTAACAAGTAACTTGCAAAATGACTTACAGTAATTGAAAGCTTTTCATACTTATGGTCAAACTCTATTTTTCCAGAAAACGAACGTTGATTTAACAAGGAGTTAAAGTAGTATTTGCATCGCAGAGTAAGGAACCTTCAGAATGAAAACATGAAAGACACCAATGTAAAATAACCTGGGAATATATTTATGAAAGAGTAAGAAATAATTCCAATTTCCAAACTAAGGATTTTTCTATTTTATTCAGCAAAGAAAAACAGCAATTTCTACTTTTTACCAAATGACAAGTTAATGAGCTGAGACATGAACATGCTTTTTGCCCATGTATGGTGCAAGCAAGAAATACTCTCATTAACCATAGTTCTTATTTCATCTAAACAGGAAAATGATAGTTACCAACTTCAGAAAAAGCTAACTCTGAACCACTATTTAATAAAACAGATCCTTACAGCTAGTAACCATTACCCAGATTGGATGAAATGGGAAACTATGGCTAGAGTTTGACTGATCTGTATGCATCAGCAAAGGTTCAATTTCATTTGTGAAAATATTTTTGCTTAGAATGTCATTTGACAATAATTTTGTTCTAATCTATTAGACTGACTGCACATTTTAATGGAATTAATTCAGTCCTTTGTAATATATTAAAATCTCCTTCATGGATCACTGCCTTGTCACGGCGAAGGGGCTTGCGTAGCTCAATGAAGCTATGAGCTAAGCCGTGCAGAGCCACCCAAGATGGACAGGTCATAGCAGAGAGCTCTGGCAAAACATGATCCACTGGCGAAGGAAATGGCAACCCACTCCAGTATCTTTGCCATGAAAACCCCATGGACAGTACCAAAAGGGAAAAAGATACGATGCCGGAAGATGAGCCCTTCAGGTCGGAAGGTGTCCAATATGCTACTGGAGAAAAGCAGAGGGCTAGTACTAGTAGCGCCAGAAAGAATGAAACGATTGGGTCAAAGCCGAAAGGACACTCAGTTGCAGATGTATCTGGTGGTGAAAGGAAAGTCCGATGCTGCAAAGATCTATACTCTATAGGAACCTGGACTGTAAGATCCATGAATCAGGGCAAGCTGGATGTGGTCAAACAAGAGATGAAAAGACCGAACATCGACACCTTAGGAATCAGTGAATTAAAATGGACAGGAATGGGTGAATTTAATTCAGATGCCCATCAGGTATACTACTGAGGGCGAGAATCCCTCAGAAGAAATGGAGTCGCCTTCATAGTCAATAAAAGAGTAGGAAAAGCAGCACTGGGATACAATCTCCAAAATGACAGAATGATCTCAGTTCGAATCCAAGGAAAACCATTCAACATCACAGTAGTCCAAGTCTATGCCCCAACCACTGGTGGTGAAGAGGCTGAAGTTGACTGGTTCTATGAAGGCCTACAACACCTTCTAGAATTAACACCCA